CTGGTGTGGATGAACTTGACTGGCCTGCACAGAGTCCTGACCTCAACCCGATAGAACACCTTTGGGATGAATTAGAGCGGAGACTGAGAGCCAGGCCTTCTCGTCCAACATCAGTGTGCGACCTCACAAATGCGCTTCTGGAAGAATGGTCAAAAATTCCCATAAACACACTCCTAAACCTTGTGGACAGCCTTCCCAGAAGAGTTGAAGCTGTTCTAGCTGCAAAGGGTGGACCGACGTCATATTGAACCCTATGGATTAGGAACGGGATGTCACTTAAGCTCATATGTGAGTCAAGGCAGGTGAGCAAATACTTTTGGCAATATAGTGTAGCTAGCAGTGAATAGAGATGAGGATTCCATTAAATTACTTTTGGTCATAGTTTGGTAATCGAAATGTAATGGGCATATGAGAAAATACATGAACACTATTTTTATATCAGTGTTTAAGAATCATCCAGGATTAATCATTATGGTGACCGTTCATAACCAAACTGCTAGAAAGCAGACATTTTGCAACACATTTCTCTTGAGTTTCAGAACTTATAGAGCCAGACTGGATGAAAAGGACCCCTGGTTTGAGACTGAGACAAAGAACCCCTGGTTGCTGTGGCCTGACTGCTGAGCTGCTGGATGAAACTCAAGCCTTCCAATGGACATGGACAAAAAGGTTTGCAGGTCTGGCATAATTAAGGACAGAACAAACAATGTCTTTTGATGATGTTGATCATTTTATTTGTTTACTGATGAGTAAAGACAACGCTAACAGAATGGACTGCATGCTATGCTATACAGAAACATGCATTGAGCTGTTGTTGAAGCTTGGACAAGCTTTATTTCACTATAGGTTTAAACACTGATATAGCATTAGTGTTCACATGTTCCTCATATGCTCAGTACATTTCAATTTCCAAGTTTGCCCAATAATCCTTTAGTGGAATCCTGATGTCTATTCGCTGCTAGCTTTTTCAAAGAGGGTAAAGAATAATTTGCCTAAAGGTTATTGGTTCTTGATTAAGCAAATCATTAAATCATATTTGGCCATATAATGTTTTTTTCACTTCATTGATTTGTATTGTGAATTGGTCTGAAAACATTCCAATTTCTCTAAATTAGTGAACAGCTAATTTGATCATATTCCAAATTCTTCCAGATAAACTTTGGCTTTCAAACACAAAATCCATCTGTTAGAGTGATAACTATCCTGTGTTTCAACCAGAAGGGTCATAAACTTTTATGACCTCCTGTAGGTCATGAGGCAGAATCACACGGATGTGTGACTTCCATCCAGCCAGTTGGTCAATTCACACTATCTTGTTACCTGCATCCTCCCAGACAATGATTACTGGCTCTTCTGTTTTAGGCCCGCCTGTTTGATGTTGTAAACTGTTAATAAAAGGCTTTGCCATGAAGGGATCTGGGGGAGAAGGTGATGGCTTTCCAAGCCAGTATCTTCTCTCCACCCGGCACACGCTGACGTCACAAAATCCTGTCTCTGTGTTGATCATTTTCCTTTTAATCTTTTAAACTCACATTTCTCTGGATTAAAAACCCAACATTTTTGGTGCTGAAAACCCGGGAGTCAAGATCCAATTGTCCAGGACCGTGCGGGACCAAGGCCAAGAAACTGTCAACAGCCGTCCACCCTTTGCCGGACAGAGCCAATAGGTTGGTCCAGCCCTGCCCTGGACATCCTGGTGACGACTCAAGCTGAGGACTGATCTGCACAGAAACGGTACGCCTAAGGTTTTTTATTAAAAGCTGGTCTGGGACCATGTGAAAGCTATAACTAGTTGTAGTCGCTAGAATATTTGACAAACAGGGTTTGTTGTGATAGATCTGGGATTGGTATTCTGTGCATTCGAGTCTGGGACTCTATGTTGGTTAAAAAATAAAAAATATTAGGCCTTAGGTGTGTGTGACTGTGTGAAAGTGTGTGAGGAAACAATCGAACCACTGTGTACTGGACTAAATTCTTTAAAAATGGGACAAGGCAGTAGTAAGAAGGAAATGCCAGATGATGTTAGATGGATGGTGGCGTGTTGTGGTGGTGACCCAGAGTTTGCCAGAAAGTGGATTGAGAAGGAGGGCTGGGATGGAAAGTTGAAAGTTGAGCCGCTGACTAAGATTCAGCAGAAGGTGGAGATGAAGTTGGTGTATAAATCAAAAAGAAAACAAGCTAAATACAGAAAAGAATTAGAAGAGTTAAATAAGTGGATTATGCAAGCAAAAAATAAGGAAAGCCAAATGCAACAGAAGAACGATAGAAAGACAGCTACAATTGCTGCTTTAAAAGTTAAAGCTGATGAAGAAACTGTTGTTTCCCGTATGCTTCCTCAATATCCTGATCCTAATCAAATTCAAGGGGGTGATGGGGTTCAAGCAGTGGCATCAGCTGCGCAGGAAGGTGGAGATAAACCCCATCACGGTGAATGTGAACACAGCCATGCCACTGTTCCTCCTCCAGTAGCCCCACCATCGTGTGGTGATATTGGAGGAGCAGGAGCAGGCCCCCTGTCCGTGTCGTCCTCTGTGGATGGTATGGAACTCAGTGCCTCTGACTCTTGTGAGCATGAGTTGGGAGGATCAGGGGGGGATGTGAAGCTTGATTCGAAGTGTTACAGGGATCATTATCAAGTGGAGGCTTGTGGAAGGGGCCCATCTGCCCCTATTCATCCAAGATTGGCTGAATTAAAAAAACAAGAACAGGACCAAGATCCTGGGGAGGGAGCATGTGCTTTTCCGGTGTTGGAGGTGGCCAACCCTCATTGTGGTCAACGCACGGGACCCCAAGATGGTGACCCACTGGATTGTGGACCCACTGTTCTTGTGTGTGGGCCATGGACAGATGCAGAGATGCGGACTGCCTGTTTAGGTTTACCTCCAGCCAGACAGAACCCAGTTAAATGGTTCGAGGATGTTAAAAATAGATTGAGAAAATTCATGGCAGAAACAGGAAAGCCATGGGCAGAAAACGAACAAGATGACATTGACCCGCTAACTAAGTGGATGCTGAAGCTTTTCAGCGACAAAACTGTTCGGAAAACATGTAATCTGCCTAGTGCTCCTTTTGTTTCCCCACAGGAAGGCCTGAAGCCAGGAGACCGAGTGCTGATTAAAATCATCAAAAGGAAAACTTGGAAAGCTCCGAGGTGGGAAGGACCCTACAAAGTGCAACTAACAACCCCCACCACTGCCGTGAAAATCCAGGAGAGAGACACTTGGATCCACCAGAGTCATTGTAAACTGATTAAAAACTTTCCACAGCAAGAAGCCCAGTTACTTTCACAGGGACCCCACGACTAAGGTATAGATCTGTGGTGAAGTCCAGCTTCAAAGGGGTTTGGTTTTTTTTAGGACTACTCGTCTCAACGCTGGTGAAAAGAACAACCTAACCCAGTCTTTTAGAGTCCGGTTAGTGGGTGTTTCCTTGGACGGACTGGCAAAGATCTGAAAAACCAAAGTGGTTATGCTGCCCGGTGATGACTGTTGGACCGGTGTTCCTAGGAACTCAAACTGACTGTCTGAAACAAAGGAAGAGCAGGATGATTTTTGATGGATCCACAGCAAGTCATCCTACAGTGCCAAGATGTGGTGGCAACATGCAAAACATGTTGCTGAAGATTTGAACAAAACAGACTGTTATGTTTATACTCATATTCCTACTTCTATGAATACAATATGAATTGAAAGATGCTGATGTTTTTATGTATAAGAGGAGGGAAATGTTAGAGTGATAACTATCCTGTGTTTCAACCAGAAGGGTCATAAACTTTTATGACCTCCTGTAGGTCATGAGGCAGAATCACACGGATGTGTGACTTCCATCCAGCCAGTTGGTCAATTCACACTATCTTGTTACCTGCATCCTCCCAGACAATGATTACTGGCTCTTCTGTTTTAGGCCCGCCTGTTTGATGTTGTAAACTGTTAATAAAAGGCTTTGCCATGAAGGGATCTGTGGGAGAAGGTGATGGCTTTCCAAGCCATCTTCTCTCCACCCGGCACACGCTGACGTCACAAAATCCCGTCTCTGTGTTGATCATTTTCCTTTTAATCTTTTAAACTCACATTTCTCTGGATTAAAACCCAACACCATCTTAACCTGTACTCTTTGCACATAGTAGTTTAGATTAGTTGAGTTTCACTAGTTTTAGTTAAAAATGTGTTAAACTGAAATATGTTTGACTTGGAGCTGAATGATTTTTTGTTAATATCTCTTATATTTTGAACAGAAGTTTTGTTTAAATAATAATGTATGAGCAGAATTATTCGTTTGACCATGATCTGAGCTCGATTCACACTTTCATTTGTTGTTCTAACACAGCTAGTAATGTAGGGCTTGTGTTCATAAACAAAACATGACTGTCTGAATAATATCTGATTAAATAAGATATTTACTAGCCCTATTGGGTTGTGCAATAAACATCTTAAAGTATCACAACATAATATGTATCCCAGCATAGTACAAAAAGACTACTAGAATAAAACATGCAGTGTATTTTGATTACTGTGATAAGATCTACAGCTGCAGCACTCTCAGTTTTTGCCACATTTACTGGGTTGTTATTACTATTAAAATAATTGTACGTAATTTTTGTAAATAAATCATGCTGTTTGAAAGCAAAAACCCTGGCAAATTCAGTTTAGACAAATAATGGAATGTCTAAATACTATCCAAACTGTTCTTGTTTATGGATCCGTGTATTTTAATAAGATGCCATATTAATGGTTGTGTGCACTGCTGTACAAATTAATCATCTGTTTAACTCCTAAGCTGTTCATCCACTATTATTTATCATTGTAAAGAACAACAACAACAAATACCCTATTTTAGTGTTACCCTTTACTAATGATAAAACTAAAGGGTTAATAAAACCAGTTTAGTGTTCTTCTTACCACCACAATGAGGCTGTCAGTGGAAAAAGGCTTATATGGACACTTGATGTATTTTATAATACATTTTACAAATTTGAAACCCGTGCATTAAAAAGCTCCTACCTGTTGTGATTTTCCATCTTCATCTTCACCACAATCAACATATTCATTCTCCTGTGTAAAAAAGTTTTGTTTTAAAATGCAGTGAGAGATGTCTAATTACTATCCAAACTGTTCTTGTTTATGGATCTGTGTATTTTAATAAGATGCCATATTAATGGTTGTGTGCACTGCTGTACAAATTAAACATCTGTTTAACTCTTAAGCTGTGCATCCACTATTATTTATCATTGTAAAGAACAACAACAACAAATACTCTATTCTAAGTGTTACCCTTTACTAATGATAAAACTAAAGGGTAAATAAAACCAGTTTAGTGTTTTTCTTACTACGACAATGAGGCTGTCAGTGGAAAAAGGCTTATATGGACACTTGATGAATTTTATAATACATTTTACAAATTTGAAACCCATGCATTAAAAAGCTCCTACCTGTGGTGATTGTCCATCTTCATCTTCATCACTGTCAACATATTCATTCTCCTGTGTAAACAAGTTTTGTTTTAAAATGCAGTGAGAGATGGCCCAAGAATTCACTGTGCTGAGAATAAAAACACTTATTTAATATTAAAGGCCCTGTGTAGGAAACTTTGTCTCACTATGATGAGAAGTGGGCCACTAAAATAGGACAATGGACATGTGAACAAAAACCAAACAGTCAAATAAAGATACAGTTAATATTAACTGTATTGTTGGCTCACAATTATAATAACAGTGCCGTTAAAAAAAAAAAAAACAGTTAATATTATTTTTTTTACTTTTACAATAAGATTTCTGTTTCATTAAATACAGTAAGGTACTTTGTATAGGTACTGTATTTAATTTTACAGTTACAAAAATATTACTGTAATGCAAACAGCAATATTTGAAATGTACTGTTATTTTTTATGACAACAAATGTACTACTAGACAAAACATACTATATATTTTTATTACTGTGATAAGTTTTACAGCTGCAGCACTCTCAGTTGTTGCCACTTCATTACTGTTAATTTTACAACTCCTTTGTTGCAGTTATAATTTAACACTCTTAAAATTCCCTTTTGTTTTTCACATTGGTTCTCAAAGCTGCAGCTAGTCCAATTCTACATGCTAACAGAAGAAAAGCACTGCTCAAAGAACAGAGACAATGCAATGAAGACTATCTGGTGTCACACTATTGCAGTATAAAAATTGGGGAAAATCTACAGGATCTTTTTCATTCAGGACCGACTGGGAAATTAGAGCCAACATGAAGGAGGGTCACTTCCTATAAGTTTGCCTGGGGCCCAAAAATGGCTTAGTCTGCAACTATATGTATAGCTAAATCTGGTATATCTGATTTGATATTTACTGGGTTGTTATTACTATTAAAATAATTGTATGTAATTTTTGTAAATAAATCATGCTGTTTGAAAGCAAAAACCCTGGCAAATTCAGTTTAGACAAATAATGGAATGTCTAAATACTATCCAAACTGTTCTTGTTTATGGATCCGTGTATTTTAATAAGATGCCATATTAATGGTTGTGTGCACTGCTGTACAAATTAATCATCTGTTTAACTCCTAAGCTGTTCATCCACTATTATTTATCATTGTAAAGAACAACAACAACAAATACCCTATTTTAGTGTTACCCTTTACTAATGATAAAACTAAAGGGTTAATAAAACCAGTTTAGTGTTCTTCTTACCACCACAATGAGGCTGTCAGTGGAAAAAGGCTTATATGGACACTTGATGTATTTTATAATACATTTTACAAATTTGAAACCCGTGCATTAAAAAGCTCCTACCTGTTGTGATTTTCCATCTTCATCTTCACCACAATCAACATATTCATTCTCCTGTGTAAAAAAGTTTTGTTTTAAAATGCAGTGAGAGATGTCTAATTACTATCCAAACTGTTCTTGTTTATGGATCTGTGTATTTTAATAAGATGCCATATTAATGGTTGTGTGCACTGCTGTACAAATTAAACATCTTTTTAACTCTTAAGCTGTGCATCCACTATTATTTATCATTGTAAAGAACAACAACAACAAATACTCTATTCTAAGTGTTACCCTTTACTAATGATAAAACTAAAGGGTAAATAAAACCAGTTTAGTGTTTTTCTTACCACGACAATGAGGCTGTCAGTGGAAAAAGGCTTATATGGACACTTGATGAATTTTATAATACATTTTACAAATTTGAAACCCATGCATTAAAAAGCTCCTACCTGTGGTGATTGTCCATCTTCATCTTCATCACTGTCAACATATTCATTCTCCTGTGTAAACAAGTTTTGTTTTAAAATGCAGTGAGAGATGGCGCAAGAATTCACTGTGCTGAGAATAAAAACACTTATTTAATATTAAAGGCCCTGTGTTGGAAACTTTGTCTCACTATGATAAGAAGTGGGCCACTAAAATAAGACAATGGACATGTGAACAAAAACCAAACAATCAAATAAATATACAGTTAATATTTACTGTATATTTGGATCACAATTATAATAACCCTGCCGTGAAAAAAAAACAGTTAATATATATTTTTTTACTTTTACAATAAGATTTCTGTTTCATTAAATACAGTAAGGTACTTTGTATAGGTACTGTATTTAATTTTACAGTTACAAAAAGATTGCTGTAATGCAAACAGCAATATTTGAAATGTACTGTTATTTTTTATGACAACAAATGTACTACTAGACAAAACATACTATATATTTTTATTACTGTGATAAGTTCTACAGCTGCAGCACTCTCAGTTGTTGCCACTTCATTACTGTTAAGTTTTACAACACCTTTGTTGCAGTTATAGTTTAACACTCTTAAAATTCCCTTTTGTTTTTCACATTGGTTCTCAAAGCTGCAGCTAGTCCAATTCTACATGCTAACAGAAGAAAAGCACTGCTCAAAGAACAGAGACAATGCAATGAAGACTATCTGGTGTCACACTATTGCAGTATGAAAATTGGGGCAAATCTACAGGATATTTTTCACTCAGGACCATTATTTATCATTTTAATGAACAACAAAAACAAATATTGTATTTTGCAGTGAGAGATGGTCTAAAAATTTAATTTTACTCTAAACTTCTTACCTAATTGTTAATTTTTTCTATCTCAAAGATACCGTACAAAACATATAAACAAAACAGTGAAGCAAACTCACTTCAGATGTGTTCCTTAATTTTTTTTTGTAGATGGAAACTTTATCCTTATAATCACGTATTATTTTTGTGAAGTCCTTGAAATTGATAGTTGTATTATGACTCCTAGACTTTGACAGGTGTTCTAATAAGTCAGTATGGTCCTCCTGGTCCAGCTTCTTGAGATCAGGAGCAGAAATTAGACGTCGTGATAAGTATTTCCCCACCTAGCCACAATATAATGAAAAGACAGGCAGCTGTTATTAATTACAGAAATTCTTAAATTATTGGACATTGTTATGATGTTGAATTTTTTGTATGTACTACATTTGTGCAAAAAGAGATACAATACATCACACAAAATCACAGTTACAATGAACAATAATCAAAAATAATTTGTTTTTTAATTTTGTTTAATCAATTTATTTTTTGTCTTATCAATCAAAGCACTAGTGGTAATTTAACTTTAAAATGTTATGCAAGCCAACAAATTTTTATTCTTTCAGTCCATATTTCAGAAATAAAGATGTAACAGTAATAAAAAAATATGACTGCCTCTTATAGAAAAAGGAGAATGCAATTCAGGTAAAAATGTCATGTTATAATTGTTTGGAATAAGTATAGGAAATCTTTTTAACATGACAAAACCAGACAAGAATATCTTGGGATAGCTTTAGTTAGTGATAAGAAAATAATATTAAATTACTAAGCAACGAATCGTATACTAAGAGTTAAGTAAAGATAGATAAGGATTTATGCTTTTTTTTTTACCTCTTTTTTATGTTCTTCTGGTAATGTCCAGGAATAAGATGTTTTCTGATTTCCCAGTGCTGACCTAATGTCCCTTCGAAGGCTCCTCAACTCTTTTCTTAGAGCCAAAATCTCTTCTGTCCATTTATATCTGGAGGGGTCTGGAGAATTTAAAACATCTCTCATTGTTCTTCTTAGGTCTTCTTCCAACTCAAGAACCTGCTGCTCCAACATTAGAAGCTGACAGAAAAGCAGATGTAGTCCATTAATTATCAGGATTTTTTTTATTATTTTTTTTAAATAACCTACCTGCTTAGAGATTGAAATTAAAGAATGTCAATATGAGGTTATACCATTGTTAAATATTACACAAATTGGGTTACTGGGGAACATCAATTTAGTAAATGTCAAAAAAGCCGAGTAAAGGCTAAATTCTCAATATATTTGTGCATTCATGAACATACAAGAATCCATCTTGTACCGCTCCTGCTTAAACTACTGAATACAGACCCTAATCAGCCAATCCAGTTGCAGTACGTTTTGAGGCAGGACATACAGATATGATACAAAAAAGAGCTGCTAAGCTCACAGCAAACCAAAATAAAGGTAGCTAATTTGTTCTGTTTTCTCATGTTGTCTTGTCACTTTGATTAGCTAAAACCTAATCTTGGTAGGCAGGGACTAGGTGTTGCTTCACCCAGTCGGCTCAGAAGATTCTGCTGAATCTCCCACTATTCCCCAAAAAGATTAGATGGGAGCAGTTTTTCGTGGGAAAATGTAATCAACTATGCACTCAAGGTAAATAAACGGAGATTGATTGAATTCACTTAGTCTGAATTTTATTACATCTTCGCAAAGAGAGAACAAGACATCATACCACCGTCTTTATTGCGTGGTAATCAGCCCTGTTTTTACCTCGTCAGTGTGTGTCTTCCTTACTTATACACTAATAATGGAAAGTAGTCAGGGTCAAAACAAATTACAGACACTTTGGTTAAACAGTAACAAGTTACGAAAGAACCTTGAGAAATAATCTGGCTTATGAGAGTAATTATGTCTTGTCTACAAACACTCCTTACTCAGACATTTTATGGCCTTGCAGGTGAAACAGACTGAGTGAAAAACTTTTTTCACTGAGTAAATAGCATAACTCAATATATGAAATAAGAGAAATATAAAGTTTCTGACCACAAGTTCCAGATAATAAACCAAAGCCAAACCTGAGTCCTACGCATATATACAATATACAATAAAAATAAGCAAGATTAAAATGCCCCCTTAAACTTATAATTCTGGGAATAACTGTAAAGTTTATCAACAAGGAGAAAAAAAAAATTCAAGTTTCAAATTATGTGGCCCGCTTTACTACAGGGTTGGTGACTTATCAAGGTAATTGTTTTTTCATGGCTGCCCACAACCTAATGCTGCGTTCACACCGGGGGCAGCAAAAGCAGCAAAATCGCGTCTGCTGCTTCATTTTTGCTGCTTGTACCAGTTAGTTCTGACGCGCGGCTGAAGCAGCTTTGCTGCTCTGCCTGCGCGGTCCAAAAGTGGCTCTGACGCGCGTTGGGCGGAGCTTCACTATCCTTTCTCTGCCTTGCAGCTATATTTGCTGTGATCAGTAGGAATAAAGTAGTTTTAATATGTTTTTAAGTGAGAAAATACACCTGAAAACTTCATCAGTGCCGTCAGTTCATTCAGATTACGATCCTGCCTCCCAATATTATTTCTGTCGGAGCCGCTCAGACCCCCACATACCGGCGGTGCGCCGACAGAAGGAATCCATTCATCAGCAGCCTCTGGCGGGTCGCCTCCTCGCGGTTTACCGCGGCGGCTGGTAGGTGTTTTTCATCTAATAATCCGATCTGCAGGCACCACAATAATAAAAGCGAACATATTCTGCCGGCAGATGTATATATTTTAAGTTAATTATGCGTTAATAAACTGTTTAAGAGGAGTAATCAGAGCGGTCTGTGTCATCAGCGCTGTGTCTCTCTCCCAGCCAGCTCCCAGATCAGCTTCTCTGATTGGTTGACGCGGCGCGTCGAGCAGCAAAAATTCAATTTTTCCATCTCGAGCAGCAACGCGTTTGCGGCGCGTCACGCGCGTCAGATGCCAAAACGCGCCCGAGGCGCTGCTTCAGCTGCTCAGACGCGCTGCGCTTGCTGCTCGAAACGCGCCGCGGGACCTTTTGCTGCGCCTTGACGCGCGTCAACCATTGACTTTGCATGTAAACTCGCTGCTTCTGTCGCGCCAGCTGCCCCCGGTGTGAACGCAGCATAAGAGAAGAGGCTGCATTTTAACCAGTTGGTACATAATCTCTACTTCTCCACCTTGGATGGAGGGGGGAGAAGTGGCAGCATCTATCCAATCATACTATAATGTTTTAAGGTATGGCTTCTAACCATTCTATTTACTGTCCTTTAAATGTAAAATTAGTTGATTTAGAGATCAGGTTTGTTTGAATAAAGGTTCATCTTTAGTGATATAAGTTACAAGGTTAAAAATAATAATAATAATAATAACAATAATGATAAGAATAAAAATACTGGGCAGCTTACAAAAAAAAAGTATAAATGTCACACACACAAAAAAAGCATTTGACCAAGCTGGTAGAAGCTACCACACACATAAACAGACTTACCCACCTTGATAATTTCACAATCATATTGTCATGATTTAACTAAAGTTCAGGCCCAAATGCAGAAGACCAAACAGGGAGACCAGGAGAAAAGGTTTAACAGGTTTTATTGAAGAGATAATGAGGAGAGAAGTATTGCTCTGAACACTGCTCAACCGGAACTGAAAAGTGAGGGGAAGGCACAGCGATTAGTTCAGGCTCAGTGGGAAAATAGATTCGGAAACTTGGAGAAGAGGATTTGGTTGCTGACTCACGTTTCCCGAGAAGTAGTTGAATCTTTGACTCCAGTCTGTATGCTGTAGTTCAAGTGTTTGTCTGATTTGGTGGAGGGCGGAACAGGGTTTACCCAGAATGCGGTTGTTTGTAGGTGAACAGAGAAACTGACTGCCACTCAGATTTCCTGCTGTACTTGAAGGAGTCGTAATAGAGATGAATCCCTTTCTCAGTGTGAAGCTCTCTTGGGGAAAGTGGATCCAAACCTCCTGTTTGAACCCCAGCTCAGTTTGAAGCTCAGTTGATCCTTCCAGGGAGTGAAGGTCCGAAAATTCCAGTTTGCAGGATGACTTCCTGCCGAGAGACAAAAGACAAACAATGTTAAAACTCAGGTTGACAAGAACTCAGTTTGACTCAGCAAAACTCAGCTTGGCTAGAGTACCCAAAACTGGAAAACACTCTGGCGTCGAGGTAGTGGCAATCAGCAGTTTAAGAACACTACGTTAATGAGGAAACCATCAGCAGGTGTGTGAGGAGGCAGACCAGAACCAGGCGCCTCCTGGTGGAGGAAGGTAGACAAACACAGAACACAAACAGACAGACAGGAGTCCTGACAGTACCCCGCCTCAACGACCGCCACCCGGCGGTCCAGAGGAACCGGAGGGCTGTGAGAGACGGAAGTACCTAATGTGGGAGGGGCCTAGGATGTACGATCCCGGGACCCAAGAGCGATCCTTGGGACCGTAACCCTCCCAGTCGACCAAATATTGCCACCCTCGCCCACGGGGACGAGCATCAACGATGCGTCAAACCGTGTAGGCGGGGTGGCCATCAATGTACAAAGGGGAAGGGGGCTCAGTGGGTGGGTACAAAGGACTAGATGAGACTAGCTTGACCTGTAAGATGTGGAATGTAGGGTGCATACGAAGGGAGGATGGAAGACGGAGACGGACTGCAGACTCTCCGATTGTTTTCTCCACTTTGTAGGGACTGATGAATTTGAGTTACAGTTTGCGTGACATCGCTTTTAGGGGGATGTCACGGGTGGAGAGCCAGACCTTCTGGTCCAGGCGATAGGACGGGACACCTTCCTCCTGTGATTTGCCCACCTCTGATTCTGCTGGAGGGTCCTTCCCAGGGCCGTCCTGGCCCGGTTCCAGAAGGTCTGGCAGCGGCAGATGTATTGCTGGATGAAGGGTACAGCGATTTCAGCCTCTTCAGACGGAAAAAGGGGTGGCTGGTAACCAATGGAATTATGTGCATACTTGACCCATGGAAGTGGGTGACTCCAGTTAGTGGGATCTGATTCTGTGAGGCATCTGAGGCTGGCTTCCAACTCTTGATTTATTCACTCTACTTGTCCATTGGATTGGGGGTGGTAACCGGAAGTGAGAGAGACCTTGGCCCCAAGAGTCGAACAAAAACTTCTCCACACCTGGGAGATGAACTGCGGGCCGCGGTCAGACAGAATGTCCGGAGGTATTCCATGAAGCAGAAAAACATGTTTAACGAGAAGTTTGGCTGTTTTCAGAGCTGTAGGGAGTTTTCTCAGTGACTAGATGACAGGCCTTGGAAAAACGATCAATGATGGTGAGGATGGTTGTCATACCTTTGGAGGTGGCGAGACCTGTGATGAAGTCGATTGCGATGTGAGACTAGGGTCGCTTTGGGATGGGTAAAGGTTGAAGAAGTCCAGAAGGAGGTTGATGAGAAGGTTTGTTGCGAGCGCAGGTTGGGCAGGCTAAAACAAACTCCTTTACATCCTTTAGCAAGGAGGGCCACCAAAAGCGCCGACTGATGTGGGCTACCGTTCGACTGATCCCTGGATGGGCAGAAAACTTACATGAATGAATCCAATTGATTACACGAGCTCGGATGGAGGAAGATACATAGATTCTCTTAGGTGGCCCGGTTCCAGGATCAGGTTCAGTCTGTTGGGCCTGTTTGATGAGATCCTCAATCTCCCAGGTTACTGCAGCAACAGAGCAGCTGGGAGGCAGGATGGGAGCAGCTGATTCCTCAGATTCGTCCGGGGAAAACTTCCTAGAAAGGGCGTCCAGTTTGATGTTCTGAGAGCCAGGTCGAAAAGAGATTGAGAGGTTGAATCGAGAGAAAAACAACGACCATCGGGATTGGGGGGCGTTGAGTCTTTTGGCGGATTGGATATAGGAGAGATTTTTGTGATCTGTCCAAACCTGAACCGGATGTGTGGTTCCCTCTAGCCAGTGTCTCCATTCCTCCAGAGCCAACTTTATGGCTAAAAGTTCACGATCTCCAACGTCATAATTTCTCTCAGCAGGAGTGAGTCTGCGAGAGAAAAAGGCACAGGGGTGTAATTTGTTGTCAGAACCGGAAACTTGGGAGAGAACAGCTCCAACTCCAGAAT